CCCCCCCCCCTGTTTTTAGCGTTTCCAATTCCGTCGATCCGTAAGAAGGCTGCTCTATTTTTGAGTGAGATTTTCCGAGTTGGATCTCCCAACCGTTGAGGGTCACGTGTCGCTGGCCGCTGCGTCACTCGTTCGATGATTTGTGATCAGGGTAGGGGATTTGGTGTTGAGTAGGGTGCTGAAGAATCTCGCCCACCGCTGGAGGATGTCGTCCCTGTTCCGGAGCAACACGCCGTTCTCATCCGCGACGAACTGCTGTCCCCCCGCTTGTCTCCCGCTGAGGCCCACTGATCTCTTGAGGTGTTGGTACAGTCCTTGCATGTCGCGATCTTTGTAGGTTTCTCCGAGCTCAGTCACATATCCGTCCAGGTGGGCATAAATGCCCGTTTCGACTGCTGTAGTCACTCCCTTGCACGCTGCTTTGAGAACCCTCCACGTCGCTGAGTTCCAGTTGCCCCTCATCGCCCGGCGCGCTTCCCGTCGTTTCGTAAGGGCCTGCTCCAGCGCTGCTTGCGTCTCTGGGGTGTCACACCACTCCTGCGTGCGGCGTCTCCGCGGTGCCTCCCTCAGGGTCGTCCGCGCTGCTTCGAGGAGAGCATTGGTAAAGTCGGTCACCAATTCCGCGGCGGTGGTTGTTCGCTCATCCAGTCGTGTGTCGAGGTTGAGGAGGAACCGATTAGTCACCGCACACCGTGCTGCTTCGAACTGCAATTCCCGACGGATGAATTGCTTCTGTTTCGGTTTAGTCCGGACTGCACGGTTGTGGGTAAGCCTGCCACCGAGGTTGACGGTGGCTACTGCCATATTGTGCTCTGGGTCTGCTTTGACTGGGCGAACCGGCTGGGGGATGACGACCACGTTAGATACTCGGCCGTGATGTGCCTGCCTTGTCAGGATGTAGTCAAGGCGCTTGCAATCGTTTCCCGACACACCGTTGTATGTGTGCCATATTCCGCCCTTGCGTGTCTCAAAGAACGTGTTCGTGAGAGCTAGCCTGTTTTCCGTTGCGAAGTTCAACAGCAGCATGCCATTGTCGTTGAGCTCATCACGCCCGTACATTCCTATTACCCTTCCGTCCCCTCCGTCCAACCTATCTCCCGTCCGCGCGTTGGCGTCCAGTAGGACATACACACATTCTTTGGAAAGGATCCTCCGCACGAGACTGTCAAGTTTTCCCCAGAACACGCGCTTGCTGTCGGCGGTTGAACGTTCGGTTGGAGCATGCGCGGCGACGAAGTTGACCGCTCCACGGTGGCCTGCCAACAGAAACCTCATGGCCATAAGGCGTTCGTCGATAAACTCCGTAGTGAACGTGGATGTCTCGCACAGTGACTCGTTAACGGCTATCCCCACACCATGGACTCCACCAGCCTCCGTGCCACAGCAGAACACCCGGAAACCCGCTGCTGCAAATTCCGTTCGACCTGCCCTCCGTGTCTCCTGCATTCCTACCACCGATACGTCTTTTGTCTCGCTGCCCCTTGTAGATGGCTGTAAGCTCGCCCGTATCCATTGGCCCCGTTTACAGCCAAAGTCCGCACATTCCAGGTTGCTACCCTAAGAAGTTGACCCTGCT